AGAACGAGCAAGAAACTCCATTCGTTACTCTTTATAAAGGATACTTCCATTTATCATATTCATAAATTATAAGCGATAAATACAAATTGGCATACAGATACAATGACGTCATAAGTAAAATATATTTCTGATTTTCATTAGGAGACATAATTGACTGGGTCCTTGTAGACGGAAGCAATATCTCTAAATCGTTTAACATGGCGACTTGTTCGGAGGATAACCTTGTTATTCATCAAATCTGGAAGATCGATAGCAGTGCCTCATTCAAATGCTTGGCTCCGAGCTGTTTCGGTGCTAATGGAGATCTGAATACATTATGCAGATACAAGAGAGGTTGTGGTAGAAAATCTTCTTCATAAAGTTAGAACTTTTTGAATTCGTTATAGATTTTACTTCAGATTTTTAATATGACACAATATTAATGTATGAGTCTCATGTAAGTCTTATATGTGACACCTGATAATTAAACCTCAATAACATAACATAACATCACGCCTTTTATCCCCGAAGGGGTAGGCAGAGGTGCACATTACGGCACGTAATGCCACTGTACCATGTCACATCCACTTTTCACCATTTTATGTTATGTTTCCCATGTAATAGGGGGTGAGCCTATTGTCATATAACGAGCACAATTCCATACTCCGTGGTACCACTGAGATTTTATTTAAAACCCAGTAATACTATGCCCGAACTGTGAAAAGACCCCTTGCCCGGCAGTCGCATTTACGATCACTCGGCCAACGTAGCAGTCAAATACCCCTCAATTGGAACACATAATCGTCAGCCCGTTTTCTTTCACTATTGGACATAGGCTTCTAGACATCACTAAGTTCTGTCTTCAATTCTTCGTGTCTAGCCATTTTCGGTTCGTGGTTATCATCACTCCATGTCTCTACATTGGACATACCAACAAATTAATACCACGTAGCTTAGCAATTACGTGGTATGTGATTAGTAACAGTCCCACCCCCAATTAGAATAAAATTAATGACATAAAACTACCTAAAACTAGGTGCGCTATAATATTATCTACTCCTTCGGGGATGAGATGATGTCACATATTCTGCTAATCGTTCTAATAGTGAAGAGCACCACTAAAACTAGGCAAGTTTTTTCCTACACCGTCTACAAGTCTTATAGTTAATATTTAAGCGTACTATCAAGATAGTTTTTTTTGTTTATAATGTCTTTAATAGCATAAAAAAGCAAATAGTAATTACATAACATCACGCCTTTTATCCCCGAAGGGGAAGGCAGAGGTGCACATTATACCACTGTACAATGTAACACCCACTTTTCACTATTTATGTTATGAGTCCCATGTAATAGGGGGTGAGCCTATTGCCATATACCGGGCACAATTCCAGACTCCGTGCTACTACTGAGAATTTTTTAAAAACCCAGTAATACTTTACCCGACCCGGGAATCGAACCCGAGACCCCCTGCCCGGCAGTCGCACTTGCGACCACTCGGCCAGCGAGGCAGTCAATAAAATATAAACCAAATAGTAATTATTTTATATTTTATTTTTTGAACACTATAACTTAAAAATCTTTTTACAACAAAATGCTCTCATTTTAAAGGTAACTAAATTATCTTTTATGCAACATTCGTTACAAATTAATGGGTGGTATTTAATACTTTAACTGTAAATCCCCTTTTTTAATCAAAATATTCGAAATTACCACCAAAAAAAGTACTGAATTGCACACTAAATTTGCTTATCAAATAAATCAATTATACTATACTGTTAGATCTTTAAATCTTAACTGTTTTACTGAATGACTATTTTTTAACTAAAAGTAAATCTAATAATTCTGCGAGTGCATCAAAAAATGACAAAACAAACCTAACCTAACCAAATATTGAACAATTAGTGTACAAATCAGTATTTTTGTTTTACGGTTCATTTTTTTGATATGGAGTGGAGATTTAGTTAGCTTAAATTTCTAAATAGTAGCAGTAAAAAATTCCCCCAAATTAATAAAATACTTTATCAAAAAATATTTACTAAGAAATGAAAAAGAAAAAACGATAGTGGTTCTTTTCTTTACTACCAAGTGTTTTTTCATATCATCAAACTGTTTTACTTTTATCTTTTATAGAAAAAGGCGAGAAACTTTCTAACGAATAGACGATACCAAATACTTGTTTCCTTGTTACTTTAGGGCTGTTCCCGTTGACGTAATTAATGGTAAATTAAAGAGATAGTTCGTCTGGAGGAAAATTCAGAGTAGTTTCCTTGTTTCACCCTCTTGTATCATGTTCTACTTCAATTAGGAATATTGATGGAGAATTGTTCAGTCTCAAAAGTTTCGTTTCATTAGTGTTTCTTTCAATTTTCTTATTTCCTTCATTGGTTTTAGTAAAACTGTGTTTGAATGATATCTATTTTTATTGCATTTAGTATTATGAATTTCTGAGAATCATTGAACTGTTACCTACGTGCTTACCTCTGCTTAAAATAAGAGGCGTATTGTACTACTATGTTTACGTACTTTTTTCAAAACAGTAATACCTCGTTGACCGAGTGGTCGCAAATGCTGGCTGGGCAAGGGGTCTCCGTTTCGATTACCGGGGAGAGCAAAGTATGACTAGGTTTTAAAAAAAATCTCAGTTGTAACCCGGTGTCTGGAATTGTGCCCGGTATATGGCAATAGGCTCACCCTCTATTACATGGGATTTGTAATATAAATAGTGAAAAGTGGGTGTTACATTGAATAGTGGCATTAAGTGCCATAATGTGCACCTCTGATTACCCTTATGGGGATAAAAGGTGTGATGTTATATTATGTTATGTTCAAAATAATAACCACTATTACACAATAACCATTATTAACCTCATTTTGTTATAAATGTATAATGGAAAAACAAACCTATGAATATGTTAACAGCTTATAGTTAATAATGGACGGCCACTAAGCCAAGCTGTTACTACAATTACCTCCTTTTAATAATTAAAATCGAAAACATTACAATTAAAATACAAGCAATAATATAATTTGAACCAAGCATCACGGTTATTTGTGGTTTCCAACGAATTTCCATTAAAACCTTTCGCATCAGCTGTAATTCAGCCGTGTATTGTGGATTCATTTAATTAATTCTTTGTCCATAATAGCGTAACAGCTGATATTATTAATTCAGATATAATTACAAAAATTATACTAATTTAAAAGAGGTGCTGTTGTTTCTGAATTCAGGTAACTTTTGATGCACTGGTGATTACACGTTTCATTGTTTTTTTTATATTTGACTAGCTACTTCTGCGCGGTTTGCTCATCTCCTATTAGTCGTAGCGTGATGTTTTATAGCCTATAGCTATCCTCGATAAATGCGCTATCCAACACAAAAAGAATTATTCAAATCAGACTTGTAGTTACGGAGATTAGCGCGTTCAAACAAACAAACAAAAAAATTCCGCTTTATACAATAGTATAAGATTATATAATAGTATAAGATGGGCCGACGTTTGACCACTATCTCGTCTGGTGGTAAGCGGTGATGCGGTCTACGATGGAGCACGTATGATGTTTAATAACTCTATTGATGCAAAAAAAAACTAATAAAGACATAGTGTGAGTGACATTAAACATTATTGAGATGAGCTCTTTCTTTTAAGTAACAAAAAAAAAACAAATGGCATTTCGCAAGTCAGCAAAATATAATCATAATTTACTATTCCGACGACTTGGTGATGACTGATGTATCTAATTTGTCACTAACAAAGACTAATCATCTCTTGAACATACTATCTGACAGATAAGACAGGTATAACAAGAAATACCTATTCTCAACGTAATATCTAATTCTCATACAGGCCCCTGAGAATTATTCACGTCAATTATTACGTGAGAATTTTAAGTGAGCTCCGGTACGGTTAAGCACACGTGGAGGACGTGATTTTAATATATTTCCTTTAGGAAAATGTTGTGAGATTTACTGTAGATTTACATACTGATATGGAGGAAAAAATATTGGAATTCTACGCCATGCTTTGTTCAAATTTAGTAATAGGTGGATGTTTGAGAGAACTCGGTACCGTCTTAGGTCATAGGCGATTGTAGCCACCGGGGTGGTTTCAGTGAGGTAAAGCTCGCATTCTCCTAAAATAAATAAACTAAAAATGTGTTTATTTCTTTAAATCTGTATAATTAACTCGTCGAGTACCGTATTTATAGACACAATTAAAGAACAATAGGTTGCGGTCACCGGTGACCGCTTGGTGTTTGACAGTTTAAGTTGCCGGCGTTTCCCAAAATGTAATCCGAAGATACTTGTGATGGGATAAACCTCGCTCCTCCTCCATTAGTTATCATTTTTGGTTCTCTGCTCTTTCTCATGAAAACCTAGGTAATCTGGCTGTACGAGTAACATTAATATTTTTACGGTTTATTGTTACGACTTCTGAATAACGATTGAAAAGAAAAAGGCGGATATTGTTACTGTTTGCTTTCTTTTCATACTTATTACTGCAATGTAATAATATCGACTTTACAATTTCGAAGTTTGGTGTGTGTGCTATGCTGCTATGCTAGTAGGTACTTTATAAAATGCTAGTTGAATGGTATAGTTAATTTAAAATGATATACATATTCATAAGCGCTTCGCATCAAGCATGCGAAGGAGTGTGTTGTGTTGGTGGATTGTCAAATTATGGTTGTATTTATTTTACTTGGATTTGTTACAATAATGTGCAGGGCGCACGACGTGTACACACACCAGAGTATGACAGATAGACAGCAGTGTTAATAATGGGTGTCCTACTTATATAACACATTATAGTGAGGAGGCCAATACTTACTAATTAGTGATGTTGATACAGACTAAACATACATGTAACAGAGTGGAATTCTTTGTCAGTGTCTGTATTTCCTGAAGGGTGTAACCTGGGTGTCTTTAATAGGCTGCTCATGGGAGGACGAGATCCGACACATCAATTAAAAAAAAAAGTATATCGATACTAATTTGCTTTTTATGGTTGTTTCAGAGTTTGATGGCGTTTATTAAGTTCGGGTATGCGCTTGTGGTGGTGACGCTGCTGCTCATGATATGGGCGTCACTGTCGAGAGCATTGGAAGTAAGTACTTCACAACCCTATACTATTTTTGTCAATTAAGATTTCAACTTTATGGCACAGCAATTGAGTGAAAAATCGTTAGTAGAGTATCTTGACGTGGCTAGCTTGTATAAGAGCTAGCTAAATATTAATAAGACTATCATAAAAGCTATTAAAACTGAACTAAAGCCGCAGACGATCATAATAAATTCAGATTTAATTAGCCAAACGACTATAAAAGAATTTTCAAATCTTCATTACAAAATGGGTGAAAATATAATTCTGTTCTATGAATTAATTTGATTCCGAGTCGGTTGAAAATGCATGTAGTTTGATGAATAGTTTAATAAATAAATTCTATTTCATTTAAAATTAACGTTAAACCGCATATTGTATCGGTTATCCTGTGATTAAATAACAACTCTGGCATTTTGTAATCACATTTATTTCAATAAGTGATTAACTGCAATAGAAACGTCACATTATTATATGCAGCTTTAGTAAAACAAACTTTAAGGGTAATCAGTCAGTGTTTATTTTCTAATATCACATTTAATCTATTTCAAATACCAATACAGATAGCCAAACTTTTTATTTAACTTTATTGACTAATGAACTTTACATCCAATCAAATAGCGTCTATATTATAAAACCACAATAATTTTCCTTAAATCAAAAGCAGCGATAGAAACTTTGACTTTGCCCTCAAAATCATAGTTCAAATATCTTGCTCAGGCTTCCGTAAACTTTGTTGAATAAAACTAGTTGTTGTTTGAACACTAGATGGCTAGTAAACACTTGAGACGGAGGAGGATGCTTCTCGCGGTTTGCAACTCGGATTGGCTCTGCTTTGCATAATAACATTCGAGCTGCAAACTTTGGGGACTAATGTTGCATGTGTCAGATGTGTGTTGGATAAAGTTTTGCAAAATTGTTGGTTACTTTTTTATTGCAAATACATAAAGGAGTATCGTGAATTAGAACTTTGTATTAGGTACGATATCTACATATTCTAAGGAGTTTCTACATGGGCAGAATAGGTGACTGAATAGATTGCTTATGAGCAGACGTGCACCAACATAGATAGGCCGCATCATCGCTTACCACCATGCGAGATAGTGGTCAATATTTATTTAGTGACTATTCTTTATTATTTGGCAGTTCTCTTAACGTAATTCTTCCAACGTTTGAAGTAAACGTTTTGTATTTCTGGGGTTTTGTAACTAGGATGTTTCATTACGGTCTCCATTTTAAGATCATTACACTGACAACTTATTTCAAATAACTACATTCAATAACCAGAACCACTTATCTTATTACACACATACTGGCCATATCCTCAATCACTTCACCAACATACCAACCACCCAGGCCAATATTTGTCACCAATATAATACGCCAAAGTTCCCCAGTTTGGGAAGCGCGGTAAAGTTGTTACAGTTACGCGTTTTGAAGCTGAAGGAGGTATTAGCAAAGTGGTTTATTACACGTATAACTTAGGCGTATACCACAGGCTTTAAAGTTTGGTCGATTTAGGATATGAGCTGACTTTACTACCATATCCATCCATAATACCTTACATGATATACTATCGGTCTTTAAAAGCCAATGTCTGGGTGAAATTTTAGCTCTTATACCATAGTAAAATAAGTTCTATCATATCTACAGAGATTATAAATTCAAATGTGACAGTCTACGTATTATAGTACCTTTCGATCGGTTTATCTCCTGGCCTTTTTCAACTAAATTGGAGTCGGCACTGAGTCTTAATCAGATTCGGCTGAATGTCTCCGCTGTGAGGTAAAATGTGGTGCGACAGTTACCTACCCTATATTTAAACCTTATTTTTTGGAAGATTTATTATATCAATAGTCTTGTATTTGCAAAATGGGATAAACTGAGCAGTTTCGATAGTGTATAATGAGTAAGGTTAATTTATCAATTAATTTATAGGTTTCATAAAGGTCGGCAAGACGCATGTAATGCCCCAAGTGTTGCAGGCTTTCATAGGCCACGGTAACCGCTTACCATCAGGTGGGCCGTGTGCTTTTTTAGGTACCGTCGTGGTATAAAAAAAATTAAGAAAAAACTGTAAGTGGCTGGTGCAATTGCCTATATAAAACCTAAAGATGGCAACCACTATTGTTGGAACTGATCAACTTACTGCCAAGTTTTGAACTCTATTAGCAACTCCAGATTGTTACAAAAAAATTCGAAAAGAAACCTATTAATTGACCCCTACTGTGCTAATTACCCCGAGCGTACGGCGCCTCAAAGAGCCATCAGACCACCATGGATGGCGCCCCAATAGGGCTGATGCCGATACGGAGCCGCGGAGAACCTAACGGGTTACCGGGGCTCCGGCTCAAAGTGCAGGAGTAGGAACGGGGTGGTTTTTAGTCAGTAAGAGTCTCACACTCTCTCCCGCCTCACACAGGCGGGAGCAGTCATTCGATGATTTCCACCCCTTAAAAAAAACTGTGCTAATTACAACTAAAGAAACTTGATATAGCTCATGTCCAACCAGTACAGCCTATAATAGACTGACAAGGTCGTCTTACGCAGATAAAAAATGTACCAACAAAATGTAATATATGGTCCTCATCTCCAAACCCTATTTATAGAAGTACTCATCTTCCAAATCCTAACAAGAAGGGAAATTGTTAAAAAACCCTACTACAGATAATAATATACGATCCTTTTAAACGAAAATGCGAAGGGTGCTCTCGCATATCGTTCGCTGTGTCGGTACAAGAGCTCAATGTGATCGGGGCCGGGCCATCGTATTTATGTAACGTAATTTCAATCCCGGTCTAGAAAATTTGATAAGGGAAAATCTACTTTAGCCATCTCAACCAGTCTGAGGACGATGCTTTATGAATATTATGTCGATAAGATCCAATCTCGGATATTGCGGCGACTTAACGGCGACAGTATTTTGTTGCTTTTGAATAGTTTTGCTGTTTTTGTATGAAATGTAAATTCATGTTCGTATGACTAACAAAATAAATTGTGGTGACTTTATGGAAATGTATAATTGTTTACTATATTGACGGCAGTTTGTGTTTAACAGCGGTCGGAAGCCGGTTATCTATCAAATCTTCAGGTTTAAGTTAACCCTTCAAGCCTGCTTGTATATTTTAAAAATTATTGAATAATAGAGGTATAAGTCGATATAGATTTTTTTCTGTCTTTATGGCCATTGATTAATGTTCTTGGTCATAAATGGACAAATAATAGGAATATGTACCTATGTACACCGTTATATTATGACCTTTATGAGAACTTATTCGGGACCAAATAACTTATAACCACGTACTTTTGAGACCCTTGAACTTGATCTCTAGCCCGGAGATTCTTGAATAACTTAGATAATGATTTCCAAAATCCCACCGGAAAGTCGTGGGCAATATTTTATTCATACGCCTGTAGATACTACAGCTATTATCTTCTGTGTCTCGAGCAAGTATGTAGCTTCACCAACATTTTGCAATAGAATATCTAAGGGTCATATTTCATTACATTTAGTTAGGCAGATACAATCAAACCATTTCTTTCTTCTTCTTTTCTTTTTAAAAAAGTGTGGGGACACTAGGATTGTCTCCTGTGTCGTGGGTGCGTTTACAAACATACAAGTTCACATATACATGACACCCAGACCCGAAACAACAATTTGTGGATCACACAAAGTGTTGTTCCGTGCGGGAATCGAACCCGCGACACGTTGCACGGCAGCCGGTTGCCCAGCCACCGCACCAACCGTGCAGTCAAATTTATATCAAGACATTTTTATATAAACTGCCTCGTTGGTCGAGTGGTCGCAAGTGCGACTGCCGGGCAAGGGTTCGATTCCCGGGTCGGGCAAAGTATTACAGGATTAAAAAATCTTAGTAGTGGCACGAAGTCTGGAATTGTGCCCGGTATATAGCAATAGGCTCACCCCCTATTACATGGGACTCATAACACAAATAGTGAAAAGTGGATGTTACATTGTACAGTGATATAATGTGCACCTCAGCCTACCTCTTCGAGGATAAAAGGCGTGATGTTATGTTATGATTTTTATATTAAGACACACACAACACAGACACTATTGAAACGTCCAAACAGAATTGTCATTTCGGAAAATAACGTTTTTATTAAACAGTTTCTATAATCATAATACTATTGAATGAAGGGCATGCGTGAAACTGCAATATACAGATACTACAGAGCTGTAAAATAACATACCTAACATCACGCCTTGTTATCCCCGAAGAGGTAGCTGGCTACCTCTTCTCTCTACCAGAGGTGCATATTACGGCACTTAATGCCACTATACTATGTAACACCCACTTTTCACTATTTTATGTTATGAGTCCCATGTCATAGTAGGTGAGCCTATTGCCATATACCGAGCACAATTTAATACTACTATAGAGCTGTGTTAACTAATATGACTGTTTGTAAATACCTATGCACAAACAAAGTTCACAAACACTCGATATGCGTTGCAACCCCTCTGTAGTTGAAGTGTCTATGAAAGCCGGCTTGGAGGCTTTCGATATCCCTTCCCTTTCTAATAATAGACTGGAATTGAGAACAGGAAATTAGATACTCATTCTATACACGATACACCATTGTAAGAATGAATGACATGATGAAAGAAATGAATGGATGGTTCTTATTGGAGTTTTTACGTAGCCTCACGACTTTTTTCTTATTTTTGTTTTTTAAAAATTGTTACCCTAAACCGTGACATAAGACTTTTTCTTGCGGCGGTTGCGTCTATAAACATACATCCAGACCTGGAACACAGAACGAACAGTTCCGTGCAGAAGTTGGACTTGTGTCTCGATGCGCTTGCAGCTAGTTAGTTGCCCAACCCACTCACTGCTCTAACCGTGCAGTCTATTTATTTTTAAAGACTCTTTAAATAGGCCTTTGATAGGTCTGGTCCATTATAACCCAGGATTCTTATCCACGAAAGCTCTACGCTAAGACCTAAGTCCGTCCACCACAGATTGGGCAAAGTACATTTG